TGTCCCGACTTGATCCTAAAAAGCCAAAGAAGAATGAACTAGCACCTACAACTAGCAAGCATCAAGGTTCAGATCAGAGTCTGCATGAAGAACCAGCCAAGACTCAAGATCAAGTTTCAGAAGACTTAGAGATAGGAACCTTGTAACTCATAGCTGATAGGCTTGTTTAGTTTCTTTTCATTTTGATTTTGGTTTAATAAGGAGCTCATCAAGCAGTAACAACAGTGAAATCATAGCTATTCGGTAGTTTTAGCTACCAAAATCTCCAGAACTACACTGACCTGATTCCTTTATAGCCAAGGATATGTAGGCAACCTCCGAAGCAAGGTTCGTTCAAACTTTTTCAAAATGCTTCCCATGGAATATCAAACGGGCAAAAATTATTCATGATTGCTCACTTTATCTTTGCCCGAAATTTCTTCATGTTTCCGAGCAAAGAGGGACAGCTATGAGCATCTAATTTTTGCCCCACATAGGAAATTACTCCAAAAAATAATTTTAATTGTTTTTATGAATTTTACGAGTTTTTCTTTATTTGGTTTTGCATTTATTCGCATTGTTTATGCATGTTAGGAATATCGTAAATCATAAAAATCATTAAAAAAAAATATGCAAATCTTAATTTCATAGCCTTTTAGATTTTAAATTGCATTTTTAGGATCTAATTATATTGTTAAATGCATCATTTAAATAACTAAAAGTCAAAACTTACATTCTTAGTTTAGTTAATTAATTAGGTCATTAGTCAATTATTAGGTAAAATAGATAAATAAGTTGGCCATATCAATTAGATTAAACTAAAATTAGAGTTTAAAGTGGTTAGTTGTGCAAATCCTAATAAAAAGGGAAAAGAGTGGCTCTTTAGAGGTTAAATTCGAACTTGGGCCAGTTTTTGGGCTCAGCTTTTACCCAATTTTCCTCCATCTGCCCCAAATCCGTCCAGCCCAAAGCCATACCCGACCCAATCCTCTTTCAGCTCCCAAACGACGTCGTTCAGCTCTTTCTCCTTACTCTGGGAATGAAGCCGTAAGCCGAACAGAATACGGACTTGATTGCTTATTTCATTCCATCTCTGCTCCTGGAAACAAATCAAGATCAAGGACGTCGTTCCCTTCCCCTCACCCATTAAAACACCCATCTCCCCTAAAACCCTAGCAGAGACGGACCCCCCCCCCCCCAATTTCCTAACCCTAGAAGCCGCCCTTATTCCCCCTCTCCTCTCTACCCGATCCTTCTTCAAAATAAAATCACTAGCTGCCTCCCTCCTCTTCTTCTTCTTCTTTCTCGAGCAGCCACTCACTTCCGCCTCCCTCCTCAAACGAGCTTCACAAACAAAGAGAAAGAGTTGAAGAACCATGGGTTTTAAAAAAATATCATTCTCTGTCAATTTGCTGGACGAATCCAGTTGGTTTCCAAGGTCAAATCGAGTTTTTAAGGGGTTGTTTGTTGCTGCTATTCTCGATTTGTTGAGTAGCTAAGCTCCATCTTCATTTTAACTTTTGTTTGTGCTAATGTTGCTGCTATCTTCAGTTTAGGTATGTTGAGTAATCTGTAATTATTATCTTTTAGAATTAGTGAATGAAAAATTGTTGCCTAAATGTCTCCTTATCAGCTCATATTATTAGTTTGTTGGTTTATCTACTATTATATATAAATTCTCCAGTAATAGTATTTCCTGTTCTGATTAATAAATCCTTAAGCATCTCATCTCATACATGTTATTCTTAAACACCTCACCTCATATATGTATCAAGTGATGATTTAGAACTGATTAGTATTTTTTGTTAATGTTCTATTGACTGTTATTACTAATTTGTATGTCATGATAGTTAAATATGAATCTGACTAAAAATGCAATTACAAGCTTGTGCTTAGATAAGAAGTTTTGGCAGTAATATGTGATGAGAAAGAGTTGTTGTTGCACTAAGAGCAACTATAGAATATGGAAACAGTAAAAATGGCGTATGTGTTTGAACAAATTCATATGATATTTGTGAGCTTTTATTTCCTGTTGATTTTGGCATTTTGATTCCTTCTCTTTAGTTTGTTCTTATCCAGATGTTTCTCTTAATAGGTGTTTAGGTTAATTGGACAATCAAAACTTAGTTTCTGATATTTATGGGTCAATTGATCCATGGTAAGCCCAATAACAACAATCAATGGGGCATGACAGCTTTAAGAAGCATTTGAGCTAATTAGACTTAATATATCAAAGTCCACCCAAGTTTAAAGTCCATAATCTATGACTTGTACACGAAATCCCAAACAAGTTTAGGAAAATTAATTAACTCTTGAATGCGTTAGAATACTTTAGGCACGCTCTTAATTAACCAAATCATCGTGATTATGTATACGTTCGCGTGGCATAATTATGATCCCAAAAGTAAAATCTGGGTACGCGTTCGCGCGACTTTGGCCAAAAACAATCTTCATAATCAATAAAGTGTGAATAATTGTGTACACGTACGCCTGACATGATTTCAGCGCCCCAAATAAAGCGGATTTACACAATGTACTCTGTTTTAAAGATTAAATCCATAAACGCCATATTAAAAGGGATAAAAGGTTAAATACACGTAGGTTTTAAAATAAGCAATTAAACAATTTAATTAAGCCATGTATGATTAAAGAGACCATGCGAAAACTACGGAATCCAGGAATGTCTAATACCTACTGCCGGGTTAACAGAATTCCTTACCCGGTCTTCTGGTTTCGCAGACTTTAAAACAGAGTCAAATTTCCTCGATTTGGAATTTAAAAATAAACTGGTGACTTGGGACACCTCAATAATTATTCCAAGTGGCGACTCTAAATTAAATAAATAATCCCATTTCAGTTAATTTTATTTTAATTGGAAAAACTCCCTATCCCTCGGGAAAAATGAGGTGTGACACAACTCATGTTGATGCACTTTGTCACCAACCGGCCAACCGTTGATGCACTTTGTCACCAACACCCAGTTTCGTTGGAGCATCTGTCTTCAACACCCGTTGATGCACTATGTCACCAACACTCAATTTTGTTGAAGCACCTGTCTTCAACTCCCGTTGATGCACTTTGTCACCTACATTCAATTTTGTTAAAGTACCTGTCTTCAACTCCCATTGATGTACTTTGTCACCAACACTCAAATTTTGTTAAAGCACTTGTCTTCAACTCCCATTGATGCACTTGGTCACCAACATCCAATTTTGTTGAAGCGCCTGTCTCCAACTCTAATTGATGCACTTTGTCACCAACACCCAAAATTTGTTGAAGCACATGTCTCCGGCTCCCGTTGATGCACTTTGTCACCAACAACCAATTTTATTAATTCACGTAAAATCAACTTCCAAATGTTTTAAACCTCTCTCCAACTTTTAGAGAAGAGTTTCTTCCTCTTGTGCCATATTGCTTGCACCTCGTTAAACTTGCTTTTTTTCTTGAATCCGTCTTGAAACTTTTACACCAATAATTTACTTTTGTTGATAACTATCTATAATTTTGCCAACATAATTTATGGTCAAACGGGCGGCATACATTAACTAAAGCCCGCGCTCGCCGGCAGCGGAAGCTACTTGATTCTCTCTCAAGATCGTAGAAGCTCTGATACCAATATAAAGGGAAAATTATGTTATTATAACTCTCTGAAAGCTCTCTACAATTCTTTATTTCCTCCACACAAAAAATAAGTTACTCTACTCCAATTTATAATAGTAAGAAACCTATTTCAACTAGAAACGGGAAAGCATATTCCTATATTAATTATGACTATAAATCATATTTAGACATGAATTGAATAACTTTGCAAATACCAAATCCTAAATAATTTAGGTATCATACTACACTTTTAATTAGAACATTAGTGGTATTTAGTTTTTTCATTTCTCAACCGGGGTCTCGTAATCATGATGCTGCCAAAACTGATTCTAAACCTATGGGAACTCATAAGGTGATCAGCCAGTTGAGACATTCGGTTTACGAACTGAAAATCTATCGTACAACAAGCTCTTTATTTTGACCCGGTCGAATCATTGAAGACGACTCTACTTTACTGTGAAGACACTGGCGAGAGTAGTCTAGTGATCAACAATTCAGAATTGATCCCCTGCCGTTCTGTCATAATTTACACAACCTTTTAATATGACAGAACAATTATCCACAACTGCTTGAGTAGAGGTATTGGGAGCTATGTTCAAATCCAGTCCTGTTTGGACCTGTTAAAACATGAAAGCCAAGAGCCAATTGGACCTTTTCAAAACATGCATGAAAGCTAGAATTCCGTATCCCGTTAAAATAATTTGAAAAAATATTGAAATTTTGTGAGTGGAAGAAAAAGTTTCACCCAGAAACTGCCCTTGAATTTTTTTTTTTCAAAAAACCCATCATATTCCATGAACACAATATTTTCAATTTTTTTAAAAAATCTATGGCCAAAAGGTGGCTATGTCTATGGTTTTCCTCTTTCAATCTTTATGATATAATCATAAAAAAAATGATGGGTCGCAATATCACACCCTTTAACCAGCTTTTGACTGGGACTGAGTTTCTTCTCCAGCGTGAAGTCATTGCCCCACCAAAAAGTTGAGATCTGAACAGTAGAGGGTGGACACTTTAGACAGCTTTTATTACTGTTAGACATGTTTTTTATGGCATCTATTCTTTATCTTAGGTGACCCAGAGGCCAAAACTACTTTTAGAAATACCAGTATTTTTGGTGATTTACTACTATATTTTACCCCCAAGAAAGGAGTAGTTTGAAAATTTTCAGGTGTATTCATTCTTTATTATTACACCTCAATTGGAAAATTGCAACCTGTAACATCTAGGCTGGTGATACTCACAAGTTACTGACCCAGAGGGACATCTAGATTTAGAGAATGAATTAGCAATTATAGCATTTATTTTTAAATAATAAAATAACATAAAATTTGACAAAGGGCACATAGAGCTTTACCAGATTCAAATTTTAAATTAGATCAATGAACATCAACAAGTAGATAAAGAGAAAGAGGGAAAAATAATGCTCGACCTTCTTTAGAATTCATATTGTATATATTTTCAATCATCTGCACATATTGCTAGAAAGAGCTCAACAATAACTTATAACAACAAATCTCTGTTTCCGTAGCTACCCAAGATGTACATCTAGCAAACCAGAAGTTTAAATCCCTATTTTTTCTTCTTTAACTTCTAAGGATTCACAGCTACTTTGCTACATAAAAATTTTGTTTTTTTTTCTTTGTTCATTCCAGAAAAAGGATCAAATATCCAAGTTTAATGTTCAAAACACGAGATGATGTCGTATTCTCTTTTTCCCCCTAGTATAGCCGTCTTGAATGAAAATTCCTTGTTTGGTCATGGACAATGAGGAGTTCATATAGCCGACCCCAACTTGGTTGGGATTTAAGGCGTGATTGTTGTTGTATCATCTCGCACACTGATAAGACTGAGGAAACCACTTGGAGAACAAATGGTGTTTCAGATTTATAACCAAAACAAAAATACCATAGCATGGTATGTGCATAAATGCCACCAACAAATACCTGAAAACAGCAATGGTGGACTTCATTTTCTTTATTCAAGAACAAAACCATCAGGATTTTTTGTATAGTTCAGGACATAATAGGAAGTACATACCACAAAGGTGCTAATGCAGATGATAGATCAAGGAATGGATAGGGCCACCTGGTTCAAAAGTCATATCAATACTAGTAATTAATTGATTGATTAAACATAATAGAAATGCAACAACTTAGGATTACAGCATTATGATTACCAGATTGAGATGCATGCATGAACAGCCCACTGGAAAATAACATAAACTGTTGTCCATAAAAAGAAGTATCCAATCCGAAACCAAGGGAACCGCTGAAATAGCGTAGAAATGGGAGACTTAAGATAAGTAATCAAATATATGAACATCACATTATTTGTATATATCAATGAAAATATGCAACTTACCAAGCAATTCAGAGCAGTGTCACTAAGTAGAAATATAACATTGACTGAATGCATATTTATAATCCACTGCAAGATAGATGACATTAACATTTAGAAATTAACAAAGAAAAATCTCCAACAACAATGTGCACAACTTCACTGAGGTAGTGTAGCCTACTTACAAAATTCAACTTGTAGCCTTTAATGGTCAGATATGGAACAAGTATGAACCAGAAGACGCAATCCGTAAGCGTTACAGCCCCTGCATTCATCTTTAACAAGAAAAAGGAACAAACATTAGGGGGAAAAATTCATTGCAGTGAAACAGCAATATGCATTATCATATTGTGAAGTCCGAAGGGGAGCCTTGGCGCATTGTCATGTGACCAAGAGGTCACGGGTTCAAACTGTGAAAACAGCCTCTTGCAGGAATGCAGGGTAAGGCTGCGTACAATAGACCCTTGTGGTTCGGCCCTTCCCCCGACACCGCACATAGCGGGAGCTTAGTACACCCTGGCTACCAAAAAAAATATTGTCAAGTCCCTTTATGCTTATGCAATTACCTGGAAAATTATTTGAAAAACATAACCCCAAAAGTCAGCAGTTTTTCGATGATAAGGCTGTTCTGCAATTTCCCCCGTATGTTTTACAGCATTTGAACTGATTGAGCTTTCTGCCAATCCTTGTGAACCATACTCAGCATCTAACCTCTCATTATTAGTTCCATCAATACCAACTTTATTGTGATGATGATAACATCCATACATTGAGAGAATAGATCCAAGCTACATAAATAAACATTGTAACATAAGCAACATAATATAAAAGATGAAAAATGTACAATAAGATGTTTCCTTTACTTACCGCAAAATAAATAGTAATCAATGTGAATGTCCACCTGTTCAATAGCAAATGGAGTATTAAATTTCAGATAGCAACAAGAAAATGATTAAGATTCAATCGATTTAAGAAACTGAATTACTTACTGTGTGTAATAGTAAAAAATGTCCCCTCCATCAACAATAACATTAAGGATTAGCAATAAAAGAAGAATAATGAAGGCAAAGACTCTGAATGCAAGAAGCCAAACAGGATGTATAGTTTTAAGACATGGCCTCCAAACTTCATCTTGATACAAAAGACCAGGGGACTCTTTCTCTACTTCTTCACTGCTTTCATTTTTCGGACCTTCATACTTAAATACAAGGATGGCTGCAAACACCATTGATGCTAAAACCCAAATGGAACAAAGCAAAAACCTCCAATTAAGCCAGTAACTAGGAATGGTTGTATTAGCAGTCATAACTGGTTGCCAAGAATTTTTTGGAGCTCTTAAAATACTCATTATAACATTGACAACAGAAAGAGTAAATAGTTTTCTTACTGAAAAGAATGAATAAATACAAAGAATTTGAAACCCCAAATGTTTATCAAGGTGAAAAGGGGAATGTGAAATTAGAGAGAATGGAGCTTATGGTATGAAGTGTAAGGTGGTCATAATGTGCTGGGGGGAATATGTTTGTACTGTAAAAGCAGCAGTAAAAGTTAAAGCAAGCTAAGGCCAAAGCTGAAAGGTATAAAGCAAGTTTCTCATGCAAATCCCAAGAACTCAGGACTTAAGAGAGAGAGAGAGAGAGAGAGTATATATAAGAGGAATATTTGTACAGCTTATTAGGTTGGGTCAGACAATGCAAAACAAGTGGCAAGAAATTGACCTACATTGATGTTTCAAAGTAAGCAGAGATTCTAAACTTTTCTGCATGTATTTTGCATTAAAAAGATATATAAAACATTATTTTAATGTATTTTTCCTCAAAGAAAAGGTGGGAAGATGGTAAGTTCTTAATTGTAAGCTAAGGAAAGCTGAGATGCTTACAGAGGAAAGAAACATAAGGCGGAGGGGTGTAAGAGATGCTTTGCTTCTTTGCCTTTGTGGATTTTAATTTTTTTTAAAAGAAAAAGAAAAGGAATTAATCTGATAAAGAGATGATAGAGGATAAAAAGGATGGTCTTTTTTAAGGATAGATTTTTGGTTTGTTTATATATATATATATATATATATATATATATATATATATATATATATATATATGGCTAGATTGATATTTTATAGTGGTATCCGAGCAATCCGCCAATAGAATAACTCAATCCACTAAAATCGAAGAACATAAGAAATTTCACCTAATATTTTTGTCTCTACTGAAATTTGAGTTCTAATCTCTCGTAGTATTTTTCCGCTTTATTTTAATAGGTCACACCATTTGATGCATATTTTTTTAATTGTTCTCCCAATAAGATGTACCAATGGCAATAGGGGATGTCTACAATCTAAAGTCACAATCTCTATACGCTCATGCAATTATTATAAAATGTACTCCCTCCGGTCCAAAATAAGTGATTTTTTGGATGTTTTCACACAGATTAAGAAATTCACCTTTTAGCATTTATTAGCAATAGAATTGACCATATTAACCTTTACTATCTCATATAAACACTCCTAACATATTCCAACATAATTTACTCCAAGGACAATGTAGGAAAAAAATAATTAATTCATTCTTGAAATCTGGAAAAATCACTTATTTTGGACCACAAGAAAAAAGCCAAAAAATCACTTATTTTGGACCGGAAGGAGTAAGACACTACAGCATATATTATCTTTTTGTGGCATAGTTTATTGCAGTTCTTTTGGTCTTTGAATTTTCAAATGCCATAGATAGTAGGGAAGTGGAGGACCCACCTCCTCTGTGCTTGTGGATTTTGTGTCGGATTGCTTGTCGATTTTTATGGTTTAACTAAAAAATGTACTAATATATGTAAAGCTTAGTGACTTCCAAAAAAAAAAAGAAACCTTACACTTTTCAAAGTTTTAGGAAATTGAAATGATACTAATTGCAAGTCTCCGAGATATACATCTGCTCAATGAAGATTGTATTGACTCAAGAAGTGTGTTCTCTTGTATTAAGTGAGATCATTATTACAATGACATACATATATGAAATGGAAGACTAATGCTAATGGAACAGTTTTACTTCAATGGAAGTAGGGAGGAGGGGTTCGGGCTGACCAAAGACATAAAATTACACTTTTAAGATATTATCATGAAGTTTTACTCATAAAATTTAAAACTTTGACCGATTATTTATTAAAGATAACAAAAGTGACTAGTAGGCAATTAGGTCACTTAACCGTTTAAATTAAAAATAGTTGCCTGAAGTATAATATATGTATACCGATTATAATCAATATATAATCTATATATAACTAGAAAAAGTAAATAGTATATTTTGTCAGCTATTTGGGTAAAGATCCAAAGATATATATGTGGGGGCCACCGTCCAATACGTATACACCATGAGTATTGAGAACCCAGACGGTTAAATGGTTACACCCCATACCACACGCATATTAGTCTTCTTTGTTTAAGCTGTGGACTCTTGTCGGTGAAGGGTCCACATCCTATGACCCACAAAATATCTCTAGTTTCATTCTTCTTCTTGGGCTGAAAAGATGGTCAAGCTTGATACACAAGCAACGCAAAATGCCCTCCACCTCTTTTCCTTTTCCTAAGGTTTTAGTTTCCCCTATTAATTTGGAGGTAAAAGATTACTACTCCCGCCATAATATGGCAAGACTGTCGAGTTGAATATCCCACCGTCAGCAGAGACGGATCCAGGATTTTGGCAGGATGGATGCACTACTAAAAAGAGGTGGATCCAGAATATAAATTTTACGGGTTCAACCTTTAGTTTTTGCGATTGCGTACTCATTGCACTTTTGGAATTATAAGTTCAAAAATATTATTCTCAAAAAATAGTAATTTTCTTACATCTATAGCTATTTTTCATGTTGAAAATATTGAGATCGGTTGAACCCATTGACTATATGCTACACCATACATTGTTACTAATTTTAATATACACATCTTGTTTAATCATATAAGATTTTACAACAAAAGAAGAATAGGAATTTCAATGTGTGAAAATTTTGAAAGAATAGACCAAAAAAAAAAAGAAATAAAAATAAAAATTACTTAATTAATACGCAAAAAATAACACCAGACACGCCCATCTCCCGTGGGCGTCTACTTCTAGAAAAAAAAAAAGTAAAAAACAACAAGATTGACATAAGATTTAAACTCACAACCTCACTCAGAGAGGTACACCTAATAATCATCACATCATATAATACTTTGAGCAAGGGTACACACACAGATATTTAAATATTTTTGAAAAAAATATAGCACTACTATACATGATTTAGGGCGAGGAGCATGGGTTCACGTGCCCCATGGAAGCCCCCCTAGATACGCCCTTGACCGTCTGCCCTTATAACCTTTCTTACGGTATTAGTCATGTTGAGTGATCTTGCACACTAAGGGGTCGTTTGGTAGGATGCATTAGAGAAAATAATGCATGCATTAGCTTTTGGTATTATTAATCCCTTGTTTGGTATACTTTTTCAATCTATGTATTTACTAAAGCAAGTATTAATTATACAATATATTTGGTATTATCCTATGTATAGCAAACCATGATATTAATTAGCAATAGCAAGGCTATTAATGCATGCATTAGCATGGTTAAAGATAAAATTGTCCTTAAAGTCCCTTAAAGCTAAAGAATCTAAAGGGTATTTTTGTAAATAACTAAGTTTTTAAAAAATTATACAATGCATTTTAATTTTTAATACACCACACCAAACAGTGGATAAGAAATAATTTCTACGTAATTAATGTTTGCATTACTAACCCATGCATTACTAATCCATATGTTACTAATATACCTTATTCAGTACTATTCTTATACACCCTACCAAACGACCCCTAACTGATCCTCGTGCATCATTGACTACATATTGGAAAGATTATATTGTAACGTTCCCCCTCTCCTTTTTATAAAGATTTTTGGTGAAATTAATTTCAATCCCAAAGTAGGAGCAGGTGAACAGAATATCCGAGTAACGAGAATGAGCTAACTTTCTTCACAAATGAAGGAATTTCAGCGTAACATCTGTGAAAAAAGAAACTTTAAGAAGCCCCTTTATAGTCTTTCCATCTATTATTTTTTATAGTAAGCCATTTTTCAGTGGTAGTCAGTCAGATAATTTCAAACAAATCAAGCTGCAAAGATCAAGCTAAAACAAGTTCTTGCCACTAAAGGCAAAACCTTATCACCCTCAAATAAATTAATGAACCTCGCGGAAACAATCAGAATACACCGTGCTTCAATTTAATCTGTTTAGCTTTGAAATTTAATGTTATGTTTTACTATCCAAATAAGCGATTAAGAGCCCGTTTGGCTTAGCTGATTTAGAGTAACTGATAAGCATTAGGTGCTGAAAAGCACTTTTAAGTGCTGAAATTGATTTAAAAAAATAAGCAATTACGTGTTTGGATAAAAGTGTTGATATTAATAATAAGTAGTTGAAGAACTGGGTATACGAAGAGTTTCGTTCTAAAAAGAAGTATTTTAGAGATAGAATAGTAAATATTTTGGTCAAATCTAAAGTGCTTATAAGCTGAAATTTGATAAGTTGGGGGAGAACAACTTATGGCTTTTGGCTTATTTTTGGCTTATAAGCACGTAACTTATAACCACTTTTAATTTTACCAAACGCGTAGATAAGCCAAAAAGTGCTTATAAGCCAGTTTGACCAGCTTATAAGCTTAGCCAAACACCCTCTAAGTTGTTCAAATTTTACTAAAAAATTGATTCTTAAACAATTTCCAAACTTATTAACATTAATCTATCTTCCCTAGCTGTCTCAGTTTCTAAAATAATTTAGGTAAAGGCGAAATACATAAACGGCCCCTTTAAGTTGTACTCAACGATTAGAAGGACTTCAATTGGCCCCTTTACCATTTAAACACTTCAAATGGCTTTAAGTCGTCCTAACGCTACTGTCAAACCTACTTATGTTGTCCTTATTACCACTCATCTGAGTAGTTGTTGCATAACACCACTAGTCGTTATAGCACTAGTCCTTTTTGTTCGGCGTTAGGGGCCCCACAAGTCATCGCTAGCATCATCAGTTATTTTGAACACAGATCAGCACACTACTGGTTGTTTGGAACACTAAGGCTGAAATGCAGGCGGTCGGGAACACTAAAGGCGCTTGTTCTAGGAGCTACAGGTCGTTGCTCACGCAAGCGAAAGGGTGTTTTGGAGCACTAAGAGCGATTAGTGGTTGCTTCGCTCGACAAGACTGAAGCCTTCGCTTGCGCCATTGCTTGCACCACTAGAGTCGTTCCGACACTTTGAATTGTTACCAACAATAGTATAAACAACCCCCTTGATACACTTAATAACCACTTGAAGCGTTTAAATGATAAAGGGGTCACTTGAGATGTCTATCCGATTGTTGTGGACAACTTAAAAGGGCCGTTTAAGCATTTAACCCTAGGTGAACCCCAAAACTTGAAGATTGAAAAGAGGAACAAGCGGAGACATGAGATAAACAATGAGAATTGGAGATTTATCATTTTTCAATGATCTTCGGAACATCATTCGCAGTCGGATTAGTGACCACACTACAGAAATAATGATACTCGCACACCAAAGAGGAACTGAGTGAGATGTTGAGATGCAATTTTTATAATAGTAGAGTCTAGCTCAAGATTCCGCATACCTAGACTATTCCATCAGGCACATGTACCCCACCAGTCCAAGTATCAGTAAACTACTCTCATCATGGCATAGACCGATGAGATGCTAAAATGCATTTCAAAACTTAAATGACACAGTTAGCTAAACATTAACCAAAGCAAGTGTTTCAATATAGACTACTTTGGATAATCAAAACTATAATAGAATCCCAACATACAAATTGATGCAGCCAAGTGCGGTAGAGCAGCATAACTTTCTTGCAATAGATTAAGCATCAATAAGACAATAGCAAATTACTAAACCAAAAACTTGAAATATTCATTTTGTCTCCTGATCAGATATGTCACTAAGAGAGCACAAAATTGATCGCATGATTCAATAACGAAAACTCCTGCACTACGTCAAATGCAACCAAAGTATCTGAAGAGTGTAACAGAACAGAAGGGGAGAAAGATCTGTCACGTTTTGCTTCACAGGCAATCTAGAAAAGAGAGGTTCCCTTTCCTTTCTTGTCCCCACCAATCTCAAAATGCTTGCACCTCTGCACAACAACAAAGGAATAGAACATATATTTTCAACTATATGATTATGAAAAATGCAACTGGAGAATAGAGATCTATCAATTAACATACCTTGATTGGGTGCTGTGACACATGTTTACAACCCTGGCATTGCAATCTCAACACAATCTTCTTTGTGGTTTTTGCCTGGTTTGGAATGGCAAAAGAAAGAGAAGCAGATTAGTAATAGAAAAAACTAGTCTTCAACTAGTCTTGAATGTCTATCATCCATGCCCGCATACAGTGATACAGACAATGGCGCTTAATCACTGGAATCTTCTTATCTCTCTCCCTCTTTCTTGATTTATCCAATAACTAATATTCCATATTTCTATTTTAAGTAGATTAAGCTATTGAATTTTAATAAAATTATAGATTGATAATGGTCTAAGAGCTTGTATGGTTTAGTTGAACTAAGTAGCTTTTAAGCACCAACTATTGAAAAGCACTTCTCAAGTGCTAGAGTTGATTTTACGAATTAAAAAAGTTACGTGTTTGGATAGAAGTGTTGAATCTGAAAATAAGCAATTTATTGCCTAGTCAAAATAACTTAAATGTCCCTAGAATTGATAACAATAAAAAGGAGCTATTGCAAGATTTTTTGTTTTAAATCAATTCAAATACAAATTTACTTATGCCTCAATTCACTTAAGTGTTCAATTAATTAGATTTGATTAGTTTGAGATGAATCTCAAATTCGGGATGGAAGCCTCCAAATCCACATCTTTGCTATAGCCTCACGTTATATTCACAAACAACAAAAGAGAACTCCAAGGGAACGCTTAGTCGTTTACTATTTTGCATATACATAAGACAATATATCACAGCAAACTTTGAAAATAGAACCTCCTAACTAGCAACTCTGATTTCTTTAAAAAGGTAACAACCAACTAGCGACTTTATGAAGAAGCTAAAAATAGAAGCATGTCTCTAAAATTTTGACCCTTCCCTTTTACAGGCACAAATCTGTAGAATCAGACAAATAACTTCACCAAAATGATACCTTATGTTATACACAAGAATCTCTGTTTCCCTACCGCTACTGAATTAATGGTACTTCAAGCTTTACTGAAATAGATTTTTATTAGTTTGCTTTCCCTTTGAGTTCTTGAAATTTTTCCTCCAAGTAGCTTAGTGTATGTTTGTCCAGTCAGTTAGTGGAAATGGCGAATAAGCAGAGATGGAAATGGCATGACTAGATTTAGGGCTACTGGTGTATGTAATAAAGGATCTTTTGGAAATTATAAGAAAGCATGATGGTTAACAAAGTAAAATGCTAGGTGAAACCCAAAAAGCTTTTAAGCTAAAAAGCCACAAGTTTGATGTCAGAGCTGAAAAGCCATGAGTTGCAGTCTAACGCTGAAAAGCCGTGATTTGCACTACAAAGCTGAAAAGCCATAAGATGGGAGACTCCAACTAATGGTTTTTGCTTGTTTTGGCTAATTTAGACTTAAAAGCACCTGGCTTAAAAGCAATTTTGATATTTACCAAACACCCAAATAAGCTAAAAAGTGTTCTAAAGTTGGTTTGACAAGCTCATAGCATACCCAAACAACCTTTTATTTTGGTGTTTACAAAAGTGACTTCAAAATCAAGTGCGTTTATACCAAAATAAGCTAAAAGACATAAGTTGGGCACCCCACACTTACGGATTTTTAGCTTAAAAGCTCTTTTAGTGACCAAGCATTTTACCTTGTTGTCCCTTATATATTTTATCAAATACGCTTTGTGCTTTGCTGCCAACTTTTGGCTCTCTAATGATTTACCAATATGGTAACATCTCTATGAAATAATATATTCTTTTAAGATATCAGGCAACAACATTTATTTCTTAACTTGCTTGAGGTTTGAATCAACAAAAACTTAATTTACATATTAATATTTTACAAGGGTAATTTTTAGAATCTTCTTTTTCAGGACATCCTGATATGCATATTTTGTATCATTAATAAGATTCTTAGTTATTTTTCTCATTTCTTTCATTCCCTTGCCAAATACAAATTGTCACTAAATCTCAACCTACAACTCTATAAAGCTTCTGTTATTTTTCTTAATATTTCAGGCATTTGTGCAAACTCATTTTGTTAATGCAGGTTGATCTATGTCCATATAAGAGTTGGTATTAGGTTCTGAATTATTTTGTTTGAGTTCTTTAATTTTGTTATGGTTAAGCATGTGTATGGTTTAACTGACACTTGATATTGTTTAATCTTTCTCTTATATACTTTGAATTTTCATAAATTTGCAGGGGTTTAGTGTTTTAAATCAAAAAAAATTGTCAACTATTCGAATTTTAGCAAATTTACTCAAATATAATTTTACAAAAATATAGTATCCTGTTTTTGTTTAAGAGGTTTTCAAGATCCTTATAAAAATTAAAACCACCATTCTCTGTAATGAATATCGACAAGAGGAGGTTGCCCAGATAGTCAGCACCCCCAACCTACAACCCCAGGGTCGTGGGTTCGAGTTACCAAAGGATCAATAGCTCCAACAAAGGGGGATCAAAGGGGAAGGGGAAAAAAAAGAATATCAGATTTATGATTTATATTTATCAAATACTCCTACAACTTTATCTAAGCAGTTTAGGAAATAAAGTGAATTGAGACATAAATCAATTTGTATTGTATTGGAATCAAGTTGGAACTAAAAATTTTGCAATAATAAGCTCTATTTTAGTCTTAACAAATTTAACGGCATTAAGTTACTTTAACATATAAAAAAGGGTTTATCCAAACACATCAACTAAACATGTAACTTCTTATTCGTATAATCAGCTTCAACACTTAGAATATAATTTTTGGCACTTGCTGCTAAGCTCTTAATTTCTTATGGTGCTTAATTTTATACCAGTAGAAATACAGAAAACTTCTAGCTCTAGTAAACCTAAATTATTGAATATTGGATTGAGACCAGTCGAAATAGATCGGCGTGGATAGTGGAGATTCATACCGACTAGCATGTGATTGAAGCATATAAGTTTTTTTATATTAGCAAATGCTTCTCACCTTTTTGTGGAAGACGGGCTTTGTTTGACCACCATAACCAGACTGCTTGCGATCATAACGACGCTTTCCCTGAGCAGCTAAGCTATCTTTGCCCTTCTTGTATTGTGTGACCTTATGCAAAGTGTGTTTCTTACACTCCTTTGACTTACAGTAGGTCTTCTTTGTCTTAGGAACGTTCACCTTCAACATTTTACAATCAGAACTCATTTATTCGGCAATAACATATCAAAACATTAAATATCTCTCAAACCTAGACATCCTCAAAACAAATCAATTGCAGGGATTGTACATCTAACATAATGAATTCGACAATTCGTATTTTACGAGAAAAATGAAACAACATCAGCTATGGAAAAACAAGTATTACCATTGTCGCCGGCGAAGAGAGAGACAGAAATGGCAGGGGGAATTGTCGCCGCTGAAAATCCCTTTGATATATGAAGAGACTAGTTTTTGTAGTGCAGCTTAGGGTTAGTGAGAAGAGTGGGCTATAAAGTTGGATTTTTTTGTGGGCCGAGTAGACTGGGCTAGAGAAGAGTGGGCCTCACTGACTTTACGGGTCAGACATGAAGAAGATTCAGTTCGGGCTTTATTTCATTACTAGTGAAGTTGGCCGCTTCGCGCAGGCACGAATAACATCGCCATTGAATTTCCAAAATAATATTTGAAAATTTTACCTCATATAGCAAAGGTTGATATACCTTATTTATTATAAATAAATACTCTTTTAAAAAATTATCTCCTATAGCTACCTTTTAATTTTTATAGCAAATATCTATTTATGGTCACTTCCTATTTTTAAGCCATTAAATACAGTGTGTATTATTTCTCTCTCTCCTTCATTCTTTTTTTCCTCACAAAATTACCGTAGAGGAAGTAAACTTCTCTCTCCACGATCTATCTCTCCAATTTCTCTCCATCACGGCGCAATTCTCTTCCCCATTCTCTCTATCAATGATTCTTCACTGATTCATCTCTATTGTCTCTCTCAATTTTTTAGCCAAGCTTATGGAAATTACTGGCGGAGGACTTGACAGACCATTGTCGAGATCAAGCCCCATTGGCGATGCAGCGTTGGCATTATTTATACCACCGAAGCCATTATTCCCTCAGGAAGTCCAAATGCAAGATTTGCTATAAGGGGAGTCATTGATCCTTCCACGGATGATAAAGGCCACAAAAGTGCAGATCTCAAAATTTTCAAAGCAAAAATGAGAGATTCACTACCTGGACGACTCAGAGGGGCCCGGTACCGGGCGACGCGCCACATGGCGGCGGCCAGGATATTGGTGGATTGGGGACGGAGTTTGGGGCTGAGGAACTTGAAGAGTCTGTTACCTTTTTTTTCATTGTATTTCAATGTATCTCGCTGTATTCTATGTATTTCATTGTATTCATTGTATTTCATTGTATCCCGCTATTCCATCTNTTCAAAGTTTCACTTTGTTTCACTGTTTTGTCCAGCAGTATGTATGCAATATATTGTACAATGTATTCATATATTTTTTTAATTAATATAATTTATGTATTCAGATGTATATATGTATTCAAATGTATCTGCAGTATGTATTCATATATTTTTGCACTATAGATGACTTGCTATACTTCATATATTCAATGTATTTTTATGTATTTAACTGTATTCAATGTAATTATATAATTTTAATATATAAATATATTTGTAAAGATACCACAAAAAATTATTTTAATAAAGATACCACTAAAAAAAGAAAGGATGGATTGAATCTCTGAAGATTGCTCTCTTTTTGGGGTATTTTTCGGTTGAGAATTTTTTCTATAACTAAAACAATTTTTGTGTGTTATAATTGAGTTTGTTGAGTTATATTATGAGTCTATCGTTAATTGATTCACTTACCTTTTTAAACAGCTGAAGACCTTTTATTCCGCAAATTCTGTTACTGTATTCACGAATACAGCTCGCGAATACATATGAATACAGTATATGCGTTAGCTATAATTCTGTTTTCTCCGTCGGCTTTTCCTATTGTATTCATGAATATATTGATTAAATACGTCGAATACACTCTATAACAAGTTAAAACATAGCTGTAGGAAGTAATTTAGTACATGATAGCTATAGCAAGCTAATAACCACTAAAACATAGTGGTTTCTGAAAATGTCTCATAATATTTTTGATTTCTAATAGGAAGAAAAAATATCATGCAACTTGACCGATATTTTACTAATTTGATTTTTTCTTTTGTTGTTCACTTAGAGTTATTAGTTTGACTTCAATATACATTCCATCCATGATTAGGAATAATTAACAAAAATAACTAACAAATAAACCTTCTTTTCAACGTGATACGGATTTATTTATATTTCCCGCACAAACCACCTTGAAGACCTAAACAACTGGCCAAGATAACAATATGTTCCATATTTATATAATGCGTAGTTTTATTTCTCAAAATTATTGGAAGCTGATCTTTGATCTACCCGAATTCAGTTCGACTATCAAATTCATTTCTCAAGGGATAATAAATTCTCCAAAACTTTAAATAATAATAATAATATAGACGCAAGATGATGATCTTAGGTCTATAGAGAGTTGAATTGCAAAACAAAAATAAAAAGTAAAAAAATTAGTTAGCCATAACAATAAAGAAATTAATCAATAACAGAAATAGAAAGACAAAATGAGAATGCAGCATATTAAAGTTAGAGAAATTAAATAAAAAGGTGTAAAAGCAGTCAATCAAATTAAATTCTATATATCTTTTTGTATTGTAATTTTGTTATACGTGTTTTCTTTCGCTTTCCCTTTACAGCTTGTTTGGATGGTTGTTGTGAGCACGTGATTTTTGCCCTAAGCAAATTATTCCAAAAGTTTCAAATAATTGATTTCTTTATTATTTTACAATTTTTTTGTGAATTTTTGTTGAATTTCGTGTTAATTGGTTGCATGATAATTCATATTGAAAATACAAAAATATGCATTTTGCATTAGGAATTTAATTTCACATTTTTTTTAGGTATGTATTTGTTTAGAACAAAAATTAAAGAAAATCACAAAAATAGTTTCTTTGCACTTTTAACTGTTGCATTTATCTTTTAAGTAGAATTTTAAGTAATTTTAGGATTTGAATAGTTTAATCTCGAATTTTATTAAGTATTGGTTTTAATTTTACATTTTATAAAATCAGAAAAATGCAAGATAAAAATAAAATACAAAAGCAAAAGAAATAAAAAGAAAACAAAAGGAATAAATAAAAAGGAAGGGTTGCCCAGATTGGACTCTTTTTAATTAAGGCCCAAATCGCCTACCAGCTAGCCCCAGCCCAGATCCGTTCTCTTCAACCCGGTCCAAATTCTCTCAACCCAAAACGACGGCGTTTAGTCGTTAGGCAATCACAGCCTTTCATATTGTTTGATCCAACGGCTCCCATTGAGCGCTACATTGTAATAAAACTGTCCGAAAGATTCAATTAGCCCTAAAACCATTCCCGTCTTCCTCGTACAGAGCTTGTAACACCGCCGGAGCCGCCGCCGGCGGTGAACACTACCTTGTCCATATCCAACCAAAATAACACCCCAGCTTCTCCTGCTCATCCTCTTCCCATTCCTGCCCTTGGTTTCCCTCGAATCTCGCCGGAGCTCGTCGAATATCCCATTAAAGTTTTCCAGCCACGACGCCGGTTACGCCAAACGACCCCAAATTAACACCCCAGTATCCTTTCTTCTTCCTCTTCCCATATCAACCATCAGTTTTGCTCGAATCATCACTCACCGGCTCGAATTTTAGTTTGAAGGTTCCGATCAAGTCACTACTTACCCAAATCCGGCCAAATGCCTCCCGCATGCCAAATCCCGCACCAGAATCTGCAAAACCTGAGAGGAGCCTGGGAATTTTGGATTTAGGGTTCGTCAAGTCCGGCCTATTTTATGGATTTCCAGAGCTATTTGATTTTTTTTACAGTGAGTTTTTCCTTTTCTTTTATGTCTATTTTTATTAGTTTTGCTCGATAGTTTTCTTGCTTAGTCGTTTTAATTGAGTCCTGTTATTTTATTTTAGCTTGTTAAGTCGTTTGAAATGGAGTCAGTGAATTTTCGAGTTTTTTTTCCTTCTTATTTCTGTTTCTTCTTTTTGATATTCACTGATTTCCCCGGATTACATAGCTTCTTAATTTGTTTGGTAACAGTGGTTAGTTCGAGATTAATGACTTTTCTTTTTCATCCTTCTTTTTGATCTCTATCTGCTTGATTTGTGTTAGTTTTAGGGGATTTATTAGTTATTCATTAGATTTGTTTCAATTTGACTATTTGAATATTGGTTCTTAATCTCAATTGTAATTCCGTTTAGTTAAACATTTGTTTGAGTGTTATATGGTTAAGTCTGATTTAAGTTCAGTTTGAATTTTGTATAGTAGATATACCGAGTTATCGCTGCAAACCCCGAGATATTATTACGGCAAAGGATGAACAAAAATCCAGAGCTCTGATTCAAATTTCTCTCGATTCATCCCCTCATGAGGAATTACCAAACCATTTGACCCTTCACCCATTCCAATATAAAGGATTAGTCAATCAAATAATAGATAGTAAATGGGTCGGTTTGAAAATAAATGAATTGCTAGTCGTAGAATATTATTCTCGTCAGACTTAAACCTCAGACTGAAACCGAGGGTTCGGAAAATTTTCTTCCCTTTAGGCGAAGTAAATTAACCTAAGGTTAAGTAAGATAAATCCGAGTTTGATCTGGATTTCCCCCATTTTTGTATCATAGACCAAGGATCTATTTTCATTCCTTGTCTACTCTTTTCTTTCCAGTATTTTGATTATGATTATTTTTGAGTATTCTATTTTACGCGTCACAGCAATTAGGAATTGAGAATCTATATCTTTAGATCAAAGAAGGGTCTAGCTGTTGGAATAATGGTATCCATTGCTATTTGAGCCCTTGTTGTTAGTAAAATTGGTGAATTAAGCGAAGGTACGGAAAGAGAGGGATTCGAACCCTCGGTAAACAAAAGCCTACATAGCAGTTCCAATGCTACGCCTTCAACCACTCGGCCATCTCTCCTACATAACGATTATGACCCAAAAACCGAGTGAATAGCGAGTCAGTCATAATCCATATTCCATTATTGGATAGGTACGACCAATCCATTTTAACTGAAAATTTTTCATCAAAGTCAAAGCAAAGAACGATTTTTCTTTCCTTCGAGGCTCCGGGATAAAGATACAATTTTGCGTAAAAATTGTGAAAAAAAATTCGATTCATGTTTGCAAAAACAACGTTCCCTTCTTTTTCTGATATTTTTATAACGGATTAATTCAATGAATTAGAACGAATCACCTGATTGATGGTCTATATCTTTTAGACTATAGTTAATGGATACTCTTAAATCATAATTCTAATTATATAGACTATGATTCCATACCAGAAAAATTTTCAAATTCCTTTTCGGTTTTGGAGTTCTCAACAACAAACACCTA